ACTTTATACTGAGCCTATCTCCCTGTATCAGGTACTCCTTTTACTTTGATTAAATTCAAGAAATCCAAATGCCAACTTTATCCATGCCATGACAAATGTTATTACGGTATGTTTCTTACCTGTACGTATGTTGAAAAAGGAATTAAAAAATGCATTGAATAAAGGATAGTCGATAACCTTCATTAAGTTAGACAATAATCTAGTTGATTTCTGATGATGTTCTGATGATGTAAATTCCATGAGCAAAGGCTGAGCAATTTAAAGCTCATTGTCTGAACCCTGCGGTAGCCTTACAGGCTTCCCTAATATCTAGTGTCATGTCTGTTGTCATAAATAATTATATGTTGGATTAATTTATTTTTATGTCACTGCAATTCATATCCTTGTGTGTGTTGACATTTAACTTAACTACTGAAAAGTTTGCAGAGAATAAACAGAAGATGATTATTGGAATATAATATGTGTGGTTATACCTCAGTTTTGTTTACTTTGGTCCATTGAGAGACCAGCATTAGAAAAAAAGTGAACAATATAAAGACCAGGCTCAAAGGTAAGGCTGCAGAAACAGTAAGCGACAAATGTTATTCGTCTGTGGTTAGAACCACTGGTTGTAAGCTATAAAAGTTAAAAGAGCAGTTTGCTTGATCTTATTCACCTGAGTGGCTGAAGACGCCATTTAACAAAAGATCAACAAAAGTAGCTTCCTGCAATTGAGATTACAGTGGAGTGAACATGTACCTGTGTTAAAAGTGTGGTTTTTGGTCATTAGAGTTCATGTTGGCAAACTCATGTTAGAAAGTCCCATACTTAGCATAACATTTATGAAAAAATCAAGAAGCAAGATCCAGTCTACTTGTTTTAAGCGCTCTGAGATTCTGCTACGAATGAAGGGCGCTATATAAATACAAGTTGTTATTGTTATCTAACTAAGACGTTCTAGAGACTTGTAAAGAAAGTAGTTGCTTAGAAGAGATAATTGGGACTGAGACAAGCCAGTATGGTCCCAGACTTAGTGTTTTGCTCTAGGCTCTGTTAAATGATTTCTGGGAGGGCTGATATCAGCCCATCATATGTGTGTGTGCCATTGCTACCTCTTTTTTCTCTTTATGTCACCATTTCTTGTTCTACATTTATGTTACAGTACCACGCACTTGGGTATGGAAATAAGGGCTGAAGACATGTTAGAGATCTCATATTCAGGCAGTTGCACTTTGATTTTGTGGGCCTTGACCCTGATTCACAGTAGTAGTACTACTAGTAGTAGTAGTAGTAGATTTGATAACGGCAAATTCTTTCTCGTAATCTAAAGAATCCCAATTGTTTAATGTAACTCTTTCCTTGTTGAGTACGTTATTTGAATGTGGCACTGTTGGTATATTTTTAATTGCATTAAGTAAATTGAATAGGGCAAAGTGGACTAGTGTATTCTGTTTATGCGGACAACTAGAGTCCTGAAGCTCAGTGGTTAGAGCACTCGCCTTGCAAGGGAGACACCTGGGTTCAGTTCCAGGTAGAGCGAAACCTTGTTGCAAGTTTCCTTACTCCACACAGAGCCCTAATAATAATCCCTCCAAAACAAAACAATAATAAAAAATTGGTCATTTTCAATCCATGACTGTTTGTGGGACATTGCTGTGCACAATTGGCTGCCGCGTTTCACCCACAAATATACAGTCAATTCACTTTACAGTATATTCTGTGAAGCGCTTTGAGACGTCGAGAAGACGTGAAAAGCGCTATATCAAATGCAAGGATTATTATTATTATTAACTGGTATAACCACAAATTCTGCTTATAACATATTGGAGTCCTAACTGCATTTTTTTTGCAATTTTATTTTACAAATCTGAGCATTCCAAGTATGATGGCATGAAGAAAATTCATTTTTTAACCAGTTTGACACAATGGATTGCTCAGATCCATGGAGTCCTGTAGCTCAGTGGTTAGAGCACTCGCTTTGCAAGCGAGAGACCTGAGTTCAATTCCAGGCACAGGGCGAAACCTTGGGCAAGTTTCCTTACTCCACACGCCTAATAATAATCCCTCCAAAACCAAAAACAATAATAAATTGGTCATTTTCAATCTCCGACTGTTTGTGGACATTGCTGTGTGCAATTGGCTGCCGCGTTCGCCCACAAATATATAGTCAATTCACTTTACAGTGTGTTCTGTGAAGCGCTTTGGGACGTCCTCCCGACGTGAAAAGCGCTATATCAAATACAAGGATTATTATTATTATTATGGATGCTATTTAAAAAAAGTTCTATCTGCTTCAGAGCAAATTGTTCTACAATACATTTAGTCACTTTAAAAGGTGAAAATTTGACTGAAGAAGTGATGATTAAGTGTTAAAAAGTTGAGTTTTAGGAAGTGTCTGTCCAAGGCACAGCTCCTCTTGATTTCCACATAATATTAATAATATAGCATTTAGTTTTTTTTAATATATTGAGAGAGCTCTTTTTTTTATTGAGATAGCCACAGTGTTATTGTGCTGAGGAGGAGCTATTGTTTCACAAGTTTTCCCCACAAAATCCCTAAACCTAGCAGGTGGTTGTCAGGAGTGAAAGAACATCTATCAAGTACCATTAACAGTTGTAATTGACTCAGGGAATTGCTCAGGCTGTATTTAAATTCCAGAATATAGGAGCTCGATCGTTAACCAATAATTAACAGTGTTTTACATTCACTGCTATGGATTTAGCAGTACTGGAAATTTAAAGTGATCAAGTGGGTGACTAAATACAGAAGCAAAAGGACTATAACATTTAATTTTTTTTCTCCATTCCCCATTCTGGTGTGTTTTCAAGGTTATGAAGAAGCTGGACATTCTGATCAGTGGAGGTTCAGTGTCGCTCTTATTAACAGGACTGTGTAAAGGATTCAGTCACTGTTTTTCAATGGTATCAGAAATTGCTCAGTCAGGTTTTGTTTGGGAGAGGAGTACATTTGCTTTTGTTTTCTCTTCACCTCTCTCCACTCTTTCACTGTTAAATTGGATGAGAATTAGGTTCTCTCCACTCATTGAACTTTAAACATTCTTTTACACTTGCAGTCTGAATTAAAAATACCAGACCTCTTGTTATGAATAATAAAGAGCCAACTGTGAGTAGCATTGTTAACACAACCTACTCCTCTGAGAACCGTCACACTGCGATGTAACTGACTGTCACCTCTGTTGCTTCTGTTAATTAAAACTTAACAATTTAAATGATACACAGATTTGTTTTCTGAAGAAAAAAGTCTTCCTTTTTTAAACATAAAGTTCTTTCTGGCTTGGTTTTCTGTTGTAGCTTTTGAATAAGTTGCCCTTATCTACTCAATAGTATCTGTTGTCAGCCTGGTTCACTTGGTGCATTCTCATCTCTGGGTCAGAAGGTTGTAGGTTCAACTCTATTTTTGGACTGAGCTCCAAGTGCAATGTTGGGCAAGTTTCCTTACTCCACACCTCTGTTTACATAGCAGTAAGTAGGAACCCGGTTGTTAGTCAATTGGCAGGTCGCTTTTCCGGTGGTAAAAATTCCTTCAAAAAAANTAATAAATTGGTCAATTCAATCCACGACTGTTTGTGGGACACTGCTGTGCGCAATTGACTGCCATGTTATGCCCACAAAATATACAATCAATTCACTTTACAGTATATTTTATGAAGCACTTTGAGACCTCTCGAAGGCGTGATAAGGCGCTATGTCAAATGCAAGGATTATTATTATTATTGTTGGAGATGCCGTCGTTCGGCTGAAATGTTAAATCAAGGTCCTGTTTGGCTGTTCAAGTGGACATCAAAGATCCCACGGCACTATTCGAAAAGACAAGGGATTTTCAGTCTGTGAGCTGGCTAACAATACCCCAGATAAAATGAGTAATTCACATCATAGCTGCTTGCAAATTGGTTGCTGCATTGACTGATAAATACAGTCACTTTATGTCTTACAGTTGGGAGACACTTTAATAATAAAGTGCTATATCAAATGCAAGGATTATTATAGTATTTAATATTTTGTTGCTTAACACTGTACAAAAGAGAACAACATAACATATGCCATCCCTGTGTGTAAAATGGTTATTTTTAGGAGGCTATGATTTAATATAGAATTTTTTAAACCATCTACAATGTAATGTATTATATCATTGCATTTTGATATATCGCTTTATCATGTCGTGGAGAAATCTCAAAGCACTTCACAGAATATTCTGTGCAATGCTAAATCAAAATTGCTTGTTACATTGTATTGTTATCATTTTTAAACTGAAGTGTTTGACCTGAATCTTTACTGAGTCACACGATTGTTTTGAAAGGTACTTAGTTGTGTTTAATTTGCTGTATTCTTTATTGTAATTTTTTTAATAAGGACTCGTTAAGTCATGCAAGTGGGGACTTCTTTGGTAACTGTAATAATAACGTTTGATAAGGTGCCTTATCACGTGTTCGAGACGTCTCAAAGGGCTTCACAGGATATACTGTAAAGTGTAGTGACTATATTTTGTGGGAGAAACACGGCAGCCAATTGCGCACAACTGTGTTCCCACAAACAGCTATGGTGTATTTATAATACACTGGTTAAGCGAATCAAGTCATTAAATATCTAAGTGGTAACCAGTTTTCAGTAGAAGAACTATATCTCGAGTATAGTTCCTATGCTTAATAGGAATTTTAATAGGATTCCTCCCATTAAGAAATACCACAATTAGACCCCGACAGATTCCTTCTGACATGAAAGGCACTATACAAATGTAATTTGTTGTTGATATCTTAGCCACATATCTTCTTAAATTTTCATGAAATAATGATGACAAGTTTTAGAATAGACATTGAATACTTTTAATGATTTTTTTTAAAGACCTTAGGATGACATATGATACCAATACCATTCAAGAACCCAAATTAAAATTTAACAAAATATCATTGTGTTATTAATTTTTTTTTGCAATTTTCACACTAGGATATTTGATAAATGGGTAAGTCCTCCCTTTCACCTTCAAACATCTGCTTTTCCATTTTACAGAGAGTGATCACCTACGCCATGTGGAGAAAGATGTACTTATTCCCAAAATGGTGAGGGAGAAGGCCAAGGAACTTTGTTCAGACAGCGTGCAAGGTAATTGTTTACTCTCTGTGTGCTGGAGTAACACTTATTTACTATCCATCATGCTTTCATGACGTTCAAGCTTAACTACAGTAACACCCTGTTGGCCAGACTCCCCAGCTCTTTGCTACATAGGCTGCAGACTATCTATTCAAAACTCTGCAGCCCATGTCCTCTTCCTCACCAGGCTCCATGAGCCTATCACCCATCCTTGTTCAGCTCCATTAACTCCTTACCCCCCCCATCAAATCAAATGCAAGATCATCATTTTCACCTTCAAATCCTTCCACTGTCTGACCCCCACCCCACTTTTCAACCTCCTTCAAACCTTACCAATCTGGCAGCTCGCTGTATGATGTACTGAGGTCTGACCATGCCATGAAAATCATCCATCAGTCTCTGTAGAAACTGTTCCCATGGGAGGATTTGTTTTCTTAAAACATGTACAATTATTGGGTGATATAAAAATCCTGTACTGAGAAACATTAATACAATACATATTTGCACTGGCGGCCTAATCGCATTTTGCAAGTAAGTCACGAGTGAGAAGTTCGTATCACACAGTTCCTCGCCAACCATTCCCACCACAACCACAAGGTTGACAACAAGATTGCTCTGAATTTTCTACTTTTAGTCAGATACTGTTAAGTTTGAAAATAAATCCTTCTTCAATGTTCATCTTAAGTAAAATAATTATTGAGTTTATTTTCTTAAATACGCTTTGCATTTGAGAAAAAAACATGCATGTAAAGCATCTCTTTAATTTTACGATAAACCTTGACAGCATTTATTTTTACAAGAAGTGTAAACACGCAGCTGTTCTTTATGTGGGTTATAAAATTTTTCATGTAATTGCCATTTTTACTGAAAACTGTTCACTTGCAGTTCATGAATGAAATTTAAATTAGGTAGAAGTTTTTACATATGTTTCTTCTCCTCTTGACATGCCATCTGTCTCGTTATTTGGATTACCAAGTTTCTATTGGCAATAAAGTTGGATTGTGCCTTATAATTCCACACACTTCCTTACAATGTGTGGTATTCAGATCAGTTTCACATTGACTTCCGTTTTGCTTTCTCCTGGGCTTGGTATTTATATTCACGGATTTTACCTGATTTTATATTTAGTCAAGTTCACCTACAAATACACAGTCACTATACTTTACAGTAAATTCTGTGACGCACTTTGAGACTCTTCAGCATGATGAGGTGCAATATTAAATCCAAGGATTATTATTAGTCCTAAAAGGACTGTCATAGGTAGAAAACCATTGGATAACAGAAGTGATGCTTCATGGAAATTCTATTATATATATATATATAATTTCTCATTCTATAGTTTTGGCATTTAGAACCATGGATTTATTTGAGGAGCCACATATTTCATTCCATAATTTGAACATCAATTCAATCAGCCCTTTGAAATCTCAGTTTTCATGTTGCATTGTTACAGAGGCTACAGTGAGATAGATACGCAAGCTTTTCCAGAAAGGTAAGTAAAATGGCTTTCGCTCTGAGGAAAGAGGCCTCATTACAGCCATGAGCAGCAATTATGGATATCAAAAGCCTTCGCTTACCAATGAACATTTAACTCTGGCTGCTATTGAATTTGACTTGATCTAATTTGTTAGTATTAATTAGTTTCTTTGTAATCCAGACACTCGGTGCTCACAGTCAAAGATGAGGTGGACTAATTAGGATTGAGGCTGGAGGAGAAAACTGGGTAAAGTGTTAACCTTCAGTCCTTAACAGAGCCTCAGCTGGTAAAGTCCAAAAAGACCAAATGCTCCCTTTTCACACTGTTAGAGTGCCTTAATGAATCCACAACCGGAGAATTTAGCCATACTTTAACAAGCTGTCTGCTTTGTGAACTGACTTTTTTTTGTTTAACCCAATGTATTTGAAAGTTTTTTCTTCTTAAAATTAAAGAGACTTCTCACCCTCTTTTATTGTTGTGAAAATTGATATGTTTTAATTGTACCTTAGCAAAATTAATGGAATATGAGCATCTGTTGCCTTTGTGCAGAAATTATAATGCTATAGTACATATATAGTCACTGTAGTGGTACAGTGCATTAAGGAAGCACACTGCAAGATGGAATGATAGGATTTTCACACGTTCTTTTCGCACACATTCGACTTTCCTATTTTTGCTTGTCACCATGTGAAAGTGACAAACTGGCGCAGTTGCTTTTACACAGAGAAAGAAAGAAAATCGGAGGGTAGTTACCTTAAACAATCTTGGGTAACTTCTGGTGGTTGTTTTTTTATAAAGTGGCTTTGATAGAGACTTGAGTGGGGAAATTTCTAGTCTAACTGCTCAGGTGTACAAAGTTAATGGCAGGTGGAGAGCAAATTATACTTACATATAACATTTATATATTTTCATATTGATTTTTATATATGTTTTATACATATATATTCAGTTATACAACTTGAATGCTGATTCCTATCTTATCAAAACTAGATTTTTGTTTATCAGAATTGCTACTTACTGTAAAGCTGATTTCACTAATATAGAAGAGCAGAAAAGCTTAAATAACTTGTTTTAATTTTCTGGTTTTGGTTCATTCCAATCTTGTCAGCTTGGTATGAGGGGTACAATAGACAATCGTGTCAAAGATTGTCGACAATACCTTAATGGGAAATGCTTCAATTTACAAGAACTGAATCATTTGTCAGTGTTTTGTAGCTTGTATTCATTTTTTCTCCCTTTGAATGTGGTTTGTCACATTCTTTTGCTTATTGGTTTGAAGAGGAAGGAGAAGGGTTTGTGGAGCACGGTGGCTTCACAACTGCCATCAATGTCTTTCTTATCCCCGACATGATTCAGTCAAGGTAGCAAGGCACCGCCCACAGATGAATCTGGAAGAACTATTAAACATCAGTTTTGAAGCAGGTCTATTCAAGTGACCAGAAATTCTAAGACTCGTACCCTGTGAATTGTTGGATGGGTTGTAAGTGATCAACAGTTAGTTGCACAATATGAGATTACCAGCATTCACTTCTTATAATGAGAATTTTTTGCACATATTTTAGTTTGAGAAAATGTGGTTTGAAAGTTACTAGTTTACGTACATTATTTGCTCACTATTATTCCCCCTTAATCCATTTTTTTGCCTTAAACCTGACATACAGATTGAAGTTGCATAAAATTTTAAAATTGGCAGAGCAAGAATATTCAATGCACCTCGTCATGCCAGCTCTCTGAAAGAGCTATCACTTGGCTTCTGTTAACCTTGGAAGCCAAAGCCTGAACTAGTCGGGCAGTTCTAGCTGGACAAGCAATGGGAAGCTTGCCAGATAGTGCTTACAACAGCAAACTGCATTTTTAGCTGGTTAAGCCTCAGCAGTACCCCAATGCACACTGTGGGGTTCCCAAGCTTGGTACTTTCCGACTTGCACCTAATATCTCTCTGGAATTAGGAAGTAAGATGCTTCCCTCCAGGGAGTGCATATACATTCCATTCCCAGCACAGCAGACCCCCAAAATGTGTCATGCCAGATTAAAGGTACCTGTTCAGTTCAATTTCTTTGCTATATAAATACAGTCAATTTAATTTACAATATATTCTGTGAAGAGCTTTGAGACTTCTCGAAGACGTGATAAGGGGCTATATCAAATGCGAGGATTATTATATTATATAGAATGATTGCTTTGCCTTGAGTTTTAAGAAGGAGCAGCAGATATTTTCCTGTCTTAATGCTAACATATTTGAATGATTGTCTAATTGCAAGCGATTATCTAATCAAATTGTACAATTGTCGAATTGCCACTTTGTCCATTCAGGAAAATATAAGGGAGAGGGAGTAATTACAAAAGGCAATTCCACCTTGTTCTTCCTTTCAGATTTTCTTCAATCTATTTAAATGGGAAACCAGAAAGGTTTTATTAATTCAGAACTTTCTGCAAAAACCTATGATATTGTATTATTGTATTCTTTCAAAACAAGAAGAACATTTTTGGTGGTACTGTATCAAACATGGTTTATACATGGGTTCCTACCATTTCCTATTTCACATCCGTGGTAGATGCTGTTGACATTGCCTCAAAGAAATCATAGAATGTTGCAGTTTGCCATAAAAAAATAAAAACTAACGTGAGGTATACTGATATAAAGTTCAAATGAATCTACATCTTTATTATGCAGTGAGTTGATTCAGAGAAATATTATAATCCTTAGTAAGGATCTTAGTAGTAGTTGTGCATTTGTCTACACAGCTTTGGAATTTCTACCTTTCATAAGTAGAGCAACTAAATCCAAACAGAATAGTGTTCACCATAGAATGTGAAACTGATCATCACAGGTCAGTAGCACAATGTTTGTGTTTGTTTTCTGTAGATATGTAATTTAGATCTTAATTATTCTATATAATTAACTGCTACCCTTCTTGATTCCAACCCCCAGCTCGGGTGCCAATTCTTAACAGTTCAGTGCCTTGGGACATGTTTCCGACGTGAAAGACAGTATATAAATGTAATTTTATTGCTGTTATTTAGATGATCATTTTTAATGTTCTACTGATTAAGGTTTGTAATCAATTTGTTAGAATGAGTGTAGATATGTTACTCTGTCTTACACTTGACTTTGTGCTATAGGAAACATAGCACCATTTCAGTAACAAGGCAGATATTAGTAGTGTTGTCAGTCTTTCATGCTAGGCTATTGAGATAATTATTAAATGTGTAAACTGAACAAAGTAGGGTATAGCTCAGGAATATGTGAATGGATTGTTGTGTGCAATTCACATTTAATAGGGAAGTGGTACTAGTTTGGTGATGTATGAGAACTTGATATGAAGCTGTTTTAATAATTGATGCTACATTTAATAGTCCTGGTAATCAGTCGTCACAGCTCTGGAACTTGACTGGGGGAAAACCACACATCTAAACCTCAGTTTCCCTCTAGAGGCTTAACGTTGCCACAGCATTTATCAAGTTCAGCTGCGCACAGGTTATATTGGGCATATCAGTTAGCATTATGGCATTTGCTGAAGACATTTTTAAATTA